GTGTTGACTAAATTTTTTTTCTTGATAAATTGGTGACCAAAAAGTTTTCAAGTGCTACAATATTTAAAAGATAGATTTTGTATCACTTTGGATAAAACTAATGTGAATCTACTTCTCCCTACTTAAGTAGTGATCATTAAAATCTCAATTGTGGACTTTTAAAATAACTGTCACTATTAAAATGCATCAGGCATCCATAAGCTTTGTGCAATATTATTTTACTTTCATCCACAATCTTATGAAACTCAATTATTTGATTTACACCGTTTTAAAATATTTTAAATTCATCTATTATACCAATGATTATTAAAAAATTACAAAATAAATCCATTTTAATGTCACATGGATGTGCATATGACAAGAATTTCAACTTAAAAAGTTAAAAAAAACCTCACCTTTTTATCACGTGCATGTTTACATGGTTCTACACATACACAAACAGTATTTTGAGATGATAAATTTAGTTACATTTTAATGATTGATAGTTGAAATTGATGAATTTGAAATATTTTAAAAAACTTATAAATGAAAATTTTGAGTTTTAATTAAAACTATGAATGAAAATTAAAATATTATACAAAAATCATGGATGTATGGTGTAATTTACTTTAATTTTCATTAACAGTTTCTTTGCTAGTTGTCTTTTTCTTTATATTTGAAGTAGGAATTGTCCATTCTAAATATGTTATTACTTTGTGTTTTCAATTTTTAGGAATTTACTATAATTAGTTTATTGAGTTGTTTATATCTATCTCATTTAGTTATTTTAATGTTTTAGGAGATTGAGTTTTTAGGAAATATGTAGCTAGGAGATTTCATTTTAAGTTCAATTAATTATTGCATAAAATGCTAAATAGTCATTTCTTCTCATAAAAAAAGCCTTAAATAATTAATATCACAAATTGGTTATTTCTTCTCATAAAAACATAATGGTCGTACTATTTAGCATTATTTATCTACTTTTTTTAATATAAAATTAGTTTTGATTTTACTAATTACGATTGCAAGTATATAATTTTTTATGAAAATATTAATAAAAAAATTATAATTATATTTAAATATTTCACTTAAAAAGTAAATAAATTATATATAAGATAAATTTAACATTAAATTAAATTCATAAATAATAAGATTTAAATTTAAAACATCAAATTTCTGAAAAAAATTTTTACCACTAAATCAATGTTGTATTATTTAAATCAATAAAAAATAATTTAATAAATAGTTATTTAATTGCATTTGTACTAATGAAATGCATTGAAAAAATGCATTTCATATCTTAATGATGATTTTCTGTCTGATTAACCCACTTATCTTAATGCATTATTTTTCAAGTCACTCAAATGAAATATCCAAAAAGATCTGCTGGATTTTCTAAGTATTCCCTATTGGATTTCGGTTTTCTAAGGATTCCCTATTGCTGTCATAACAGGGGCTACAGAACAATATTATTCTGGTTTTTTAAGGATTTCCTATCCCTGACATGCATATCGGGGAGTCTAGAAATAATAGCATGGTAGCACAGAAATTTGTTATTTCTTCTCATAAAAACATAAATAATTAGTACCATGAACTAAAAAACCCTTAATATCACCATTTAGCACTATTGAGAGTAGTGTGAGCTTTATTTGGTCAAAACAGAAAAACCAAGCTGAGCTAGGTGATTTGGCTCAGTTTAGTTTAACGCCAAAAACTTTTCAAACCAAACTGAATCAATAATTTAGTTTTGAGTTAAAAATTAAACCAAATAAAATAATTAATTAAAAGTAATAATATTTTTGTAAATATTTTAACGCATATAAGAAAATATATTTCTTTAACCATAATTCTTAGAACAAACTTTATTTCTTAGATATATTGAAAAGCCCTTTGTAGTATGTACTAGTACTTTGTTGTTTTAAACATGTCATATGGATTTATTTTTATTCATGATATAGTACTAATCTTTTCAAACTGTTGTTTTATATTTTAATTAAATTATTTGTCTTTGACTTAAATTAATGAATTGAGAGTATTTCATTTATAATTAGTTTTGTTACAACATTATAGTTAACCAATCACAATTAAGAATTATGTAGCAATCACTTAAAATGTGGCTTCTAAATAATTTTTTGATGGACCCTGCACAATACTAAATTATAATTAGTTAATTGTACTATAATAATTATAAGAGATATGGTCCTAAATTAAGAATTTTTCTAAATTTTAATTGATTAGAATAAAAAATTTAAGAAATTTAAATTTTAAACTTAATTCACATTATATAATCATGGTATAAATGGACCTTTAAAGCAATATGTTTAATTTAATGATAAGATTGTTAAAATCAAAATTTTATATAAAATTTAAAAATAGAGAATAAATAAGTTTTTAGTTATTTTTTATATTTTTTGAATTAATAGTTAAATGATATAATTACAGGTGTTACAATTTAAGGATATGAGGGAAAGGAAGCAATCATGCAATATGGTAGTTCCTAAATTGGGACAAAAATTATCAAACATGGAATATTTGACCATCATTAATTTTGAAGAGTTATTTGATGGTGGATATAATCTTTCAAGTTTGAAGGAACTAATATTGGGTGATCTACCTGAATTGCGGGTGGCATGGAAAGATCCCATTCAACTTGTCAACTTTCAAGGCCTCACTAAATTGTATGTCTTTAGATGTGGCAGGTTAAGATATATCTTATCACCGACCATCGCACGGAATTTGCCACAATTGAGCTGTTTAAAGATACATGAGTGTGAGGAATTGGAGCAAATTATTGAAAAGGATGGCCAAACTACATCACAAGGTCATAATCTCCAACCTATCTGCCTCCCTAACCTGACTGAAATAGAGATTTATAAATGCGAAAACTTGAAAAGTCTCTTTCCGATGAGTGTTGCTCATGGCCTTTCAAAACTGCAAAAGTTAATTGTTCTTTACGTCTCCAAATTAGAACAAGTATTTGAACAATCAGGAGATGAGGCAAATGGTAGCGAGGAAAAAGAGAAAGTGATACAGCTACCTCAGTTCGGCACTTTACGTCTTGAAGGGCTACCGAACCTTGTGAGCTTCAGCCCTGAGGGTTATCATTTTGTATTCCCATCTGTGCGAATTTTTTTGGTAATAGGTTGTCCCAATATAACCACAAGCTTTAGTGTTGATTCAGAGCAATCTGGGCATGCCAAAACAGAGGTACGCTACGCTCCCTAACTCTCAATATAAAAGTATCAAAAGCTGCCCTGCCTTTTGTATAGCTGAACTTGGATAAGCCTATGAACAGAGAGGTTCATCTGTTTTACATTTTTCATGCTTTTATTTCCTCTTTCAGCTTTTTTGATTATGCAATATTAATCTCGTCTGTTCAAGGGAACTTGTTATGGATTTCAATTGAACTTTGTCATCCATGTGTTTGTTTTAATTCCTAATGAAATTGAAATGTAATTGGGTGGCAATATTAATTCCCAGTGCTATTGGTGGCAATCTTTCTTATTGGGCTCATTCAATGGTCCTTGCTGCGTTATTATTTAAATTTACTGAATTATACATCCTTCTTGGTTTTCACATGCCATGCTTTAATTTGTTTTGCAGGCAATCCGATCAATTGATGAAAATATAGTGGAAGCGTTTACTAGAGCTCAACAAAAAACATGGCCAATTGGTAGTAATATAGGGTGGCTGAGATAATAGAGTTAAAAACACTACCTTTTTCAGAGAAGGGAGATGAAGAATATGAGTTTCAGAATATGCCAGTGAATGAAGCACTTGCTAATTTGCTGCAGCATTTCACAAACCTTTGTCCCAACTTCATAGACTTGCAGCCAAATATTGCGATAATATTAGAATGCAAATTTCTATGAGGGTACATAAAACTACATTCCTGTTTATTTATGTCTTTTTTTTGTCAGCTAAAAATATATTGTTTGTTGTCCTTTCCACTAGCAGACTTGAAAACTAAGTTTCCCTAGTTGATGTTCTAGAGGTTGCTTTATTTAAAGATGGCGGATCTTACTGAGTTAAATACTTACTGGAATACTAACAAATAAAAACAACTAAGTTCATGGAAAATGTTGGACTGAAATAGTATGTGTATATATCATTAAGCTTATAAGCAGTCTAAGTGAGAATTAATCTTGATATTAGAAGTCAAAACTTAGAATCCCATATATATATTTTACTTTTTTTTTGGTGTAATTTTATCCCTTTATTATATTTTTATGTAATTTTAATCATCTATGGATTGAAGTAGAATATTTCATCCCAAATTTATTTTTTTTCCATGTTGTTGATATGGAAAATATTTATATTTTATTGTAAAAAATTTTCACATAGGATAATATATATCTGGAAAAAAGATAAATAGGACAATTTGATATTTTGTAAAAAAAAAAAATTGAATTTATAAAAACTTGGCAAAATTTGAAATTTATTTAGAAAACAAAAGTATAAGTTTTGAAATATTATTTTTATTTTAAAAGAAAACAAAACTTGAAATTTTTGTATGAATTTTTTTCCTTGATTATTAGCCTGAATTGATTTCTCATGTGGCTTTCTTCTGCTTAATTATATTGAAGATAATTTTTAGTATTGTATGCTTAGTGGTGTTGCTGGATTTAGAATTTGTTCTCTTTTAATTTGTTTGAGAAACTAAGGAGGAATATAAGCAATGGGAAAATTAATTAGATGAAAGGATCAGAATAAGATGGTTAATAAAGATCCATTTCTTGACATCCGATCAAGTATATGTAGTCTTATATTTTCATTCATCATTGATGATTTAATTTTTAAATCAAATTTGATTTTTTTAATTTAATTTATCAAACTTTGAGTTTACCTTTTGCAGTATATATATTTGAATAATCATATTTTTAAACTAATAAAAATTTAAAAATAAGTTTGAAATCTTTTTTTTTCATTTTTTGATTGATCAAACTTTAGTTTTCTAAATAAGTTTAAATATTTTTCAAAATTCTATGAGTTTAAAATTTTTTAACTAAAAACTAAGTTGTCCTCTTCTTTTGAATTTATGTTATCCTACATTTTTCCATGTTCTTTAAACTATATTTCTACAATACGCAAGTAATATTTCTAACAGCATAAGCATAAATTCAGATTTAAGCTTTTTCAATTTGATTAGGTTTCATCTTCTATGCAATGACTCCAACGTTCAAACATGAGTCCAGGATTCCTTGAGAACAGCTTAGTCTTGGTATTAGCCCACCTCCTAATTACACCCAACATCATCAGGACCAATTGGCTCTGTTTACAAACATAGAATGGTTGCTTTCCCACTTGCAATAACCAACGTATACTGAGGGCCAATGTTGAAAAGCTTCCTGTAAGTGGGAAAAGTGGCCCATAAACTGTCAGGACTGACTTATTTAGGCCTACTCTCGTTTGAATTATGAAAAGAAGTTCTTTAATTTATTAAGCCAATCAGCTAATGACCATGTAACTCGAAAGTATCTATCATCTTAAATTAATAAATTTTAATTCTTTCACTCAAAGGAGAAGGTTGCAATCCATATTGTATTCCATCAAATTGATCAAAAGAAAAAGAAAAAAAAACCTTAATTGGTCAAGCTGGATAGAAAAGAGGGGAAAATAAGAGTCTAGTTGGTCAAGTTTTCTCTCAAGTCTCCCATTCTAGCCTTCCCAAGCTCTCCGTTGTAAGTGCTATTATCCCATTTCTATTAAATATTAGATTTTTTATGGTCTCAAATTCAAGTTCGACCCCTTCACCTATTGTTAGTTGGTGAATTGTATAGTTTGTTTGTTGGACTGAAAAGCATTAGAAAAGAATGCAACCAGAAACTATTTAATTAATAAATAATATCTCCCTTTTTTAAGAAAATGAGTTGGTTTGTGAAATTGTAGGTTTGATATAGATATTTAAGAAAAACTTACCACTCTGCTGGTACTCCTGCCACTTTTCATGTACTCTAAACATTTGCAGACTCTCTAAACAGAATCTGATAAGTTATTTGAGACAATTGATGAGAATTGTGATTATGTAGTCTATCATCTTCTGAATTGAAAGCATTGATTATAGGAATCCGTTTTGAAGAGATAGATAGGATAAAGATGATGCTGTCGAGAAAAGTAATGGCAGATTTTGATACCTCCCTTGACTCTCTTGTTCAATGGGAAAATTTTGTAAAAGGTATCACGAAGTGGATTCAAGAGGCAAAGCAAATTAGGGTTGCTTATATCTTGAACCTGATTCTGGTACATTTAAGTTTATTGACCGATTTTGTCAGGTAAGTTGAGCATTGATGACTTCTCTAGAGACTATAACTTAAAAAGACTATACTTCTTCGAATTGTTTTGCAGCAAACCAAGAGAGCACATGATATATTGGGGTCTGAGGAACAAAGTGATGAGGTTGTTAAGGGTGTTGAATGGGTAGATCTCCTTCAAAGCAGTACTTATGTTACCGCTGGGCACCATTATTGCCGCTGCATTCGCAGATCCACTGGTAGATTGATGCCTGTTATAATTTTTCTGACGCGATAAGTATTCCATCTTTTTATCTCATTCATTGCATTGTATTGCCATTGGCTACCAACTCAAGTGAATCTGTCTCAGCCATTATCTTTGCTACCCGGAAAAAGCAGAGGACTGCATCTCTAACATTTTCTAAGGTTTGTTTCTTGATACTCCACTTATTTGTTGAGTAAAGTTAATCATCTGATGATTATCAAGCTAGTGTATAATTCCGAGTGCATAAACCCATTTAACAATTTTTTATTTAAGAAGAATTTTAACTTAATTTGGAGATGTAAACAAATTAAATATGAACAAATTTTATTATATTTATGATTTGTTTGTTTAACATTACCAAAAAAGAAAGTATTATCAACGAAAATTTCTATTGATTATACTTCATTTTTTGTCTGTAATAATATTTCTGACAAAAAAATTTTGTTAATATAAACAAAATTGATAATATAATTTCATCGGTGATATTCTTATAGAATTTTTAGTTGATATATTATTTTAGTATTTTTTTTCAATTTTGAAAAACAAAACTCCATCGATAATAGTTAAAATTCCATCGATAATGATTAATATTTTCATCGGTAATGCATGTTTTTTAATCATATATAATTCTAGTTTGTTAATAAATTTTCTTATTTTATTTTAGTTTTTTTAATTTATTTTTAAAGTAATTACATGAATAATAAAATATACATAAATAAATAAATAAATAACAATCATTTCCATTTATTAAAAAAAAGAGCATAATAATATTTTACAATCCTGAATTTACCATTTTCTTGCAGTCTACCACAGTCAATACTCACCGGTTCAAGTTTTTACATATAGTTACTAAAGCAAATATATCAACAACTGACTAAAAAGGGTGTAGAACAGGATTGACCAGAAGGACTTGTTGGATTCTGGTCTTGTTGGAGTTGAAGCAATTGTTGGAGTGGCAACCACACTCTGCACACTACAAGGACTACCTTCTAATTGTGGCTCTTCCATCATATTCAATCATTAACTTCTGTATCGGAAACAAAACAATTAACTATTTTTAGCCGCATCACCAAGAGAACATACAAACTCTTAATCAAGCTAATAAAAAATTTATCACACAAAATTCCAACCAAAGCATTTGAACTTGACATTGGCCGTTGGCCACACCTCTTAAACTTGTCTTTACATAGTACTTGCTTCCGTATTCTTGGGTTCAATTACTAGAGCAATCTATTTCCAAAACAAATTTGGACGCTTTATTCAAAATAATATTAACGTAAAATCATGTGAAATGAACTAAAAAATCATAATTTTTGGGTGCATACAAGATATAATGCAAAACCATATTGAGCAAACAAAAGGCCAAGATAAATGGTAGGCTTGGAAACAAAACAAAATGATGCCAAGCAGAATATGCAAAACAAAACAAAATTCATCTTAGACAAGCACCATGTTAGCACTAATGCCAAGCAAATTGTCACACATCACCGAGTGTTTAGGAAATGGAATTCTTCTTTTCACATTTGTGGAAGATTTACTCATTTATGTGTAGGTAGATATTCTTGAAGAACATTTATAAAACTGATTTTTATTTAAAATTAGGAGATGGATTCAAACCATAATTGTTAATGAAACTTAAAAAGCACAAATCAAAAGAAAAACTCACTTGTTTTAGAAAATAATAACTAATTGCTTCCAGCCAAAAGCAATTTAGAAACTAAGGTACAACAAAAAGTTCATGACAGTTAAGCAAATACTCAATATAAATTCACTCTTAAAAACATTAAGTCTCCACAAAGATTTCATCTTTAAACTTCTTTACAGTTAAGCATGTGCACGTATGTTCATGCATGATGACAATAACAACAATAATAACAATATAAGAGACCACAAAAGAGAGCTATAAAAACCTCAGACACTATTACCTTTTGACACCTAGCTCTTGTCTTATGCTCAAGCTTGGAACTTGGTCCCTTAGTAGCCATTAGTTAATAGATGAGTTGCAGGAAAAGTGAAGACAAAGAACCAATAAATAAATTAGTTAAGTACCAAATATAAAAGTCAAATTCAATAAAAAGCATAGACAATGAAAAACATCAACTCATATTTGACAATGGTTCATAGAATTGTAAACTGGCTTACTGCCAACACTAAATGATGTTAAATATATTAATTCAAATAGCCATGACCTTAATTAGAAACAGAACAAAAGATTCCCAACTCATTTATTACAAACAAACCTCAATAAGAACATAGTAAATTTAAATATGTTATTTATTGGCTTATATAATAAGCAAGCATTTTCATTTCCTTTGTACCATACTATATCTCAAGTATGATGATTTGGTGTTTTAACAAATTGAATCGAATTTCTAACGGGCTCTAGTTCATCACAAATCAAGGTTTAAAATTGCATAGAAAATATACTTGATGGAAAATTTAAAAAGCTAAAATGAATTTCAACTTTACCTTTACATCAAAACCTAGAAAAAACATCAAAGTTCTGTCTGATTTATTGAAAATTGGAAGGAGACTGTAAAAATAAAATACAAATTTGAGACATGGTGGACATTCTAAAGAAAGCATGATTCATCACACATAGTATCAAAGAAATTAGAGATTTCATTTTCCTCGAAATTTTACTTTTCTTTAAATTGTTCAGCTAATCAATGAACACTGTCATTGTTAGTTTTGACAGATTCAAACATGTCTCTCTAACTCTTCCTTTTCTCAATTTAAATGCCATACAAAAACTCATATTATTAACAAAAATAAAAAATAAAAAATTTCACCTGAAGCTTCTATGGACAGATATTGCTCGAGAACGGCATCGAACAGGCTGCCACGAGCCAGGTAAGCTGCTGCTATCAACCCATTATGCCCATCTCTGATCACCTATGCATCTCATTTCTTCTTCTTTAGTGCTTGTGTGGCTCTAAAAAAGATTAAAAGAAGCACTAGTTTAAAAATATATATAGTTTCACTTGAAGCTTCCTCGATTACTGGTTTTTGAGATGTTCTCAGTCACAAATGATGCTGTCGCAGTAAACGGTAGAGGAGAAAGGCCGTTAGAGGAGTAATTGAAGATAGAGAAGAAGGATGACTGTCTAGAGGAGGATGTAGGAAATGAGAATTGTGAGTTGGGGCGATAAATGTTTAAGAGAAGAGTTAGGGATTTTATTTATTAATTTAAAAAAATTTTTACACCTAAATTATTAATGGACGGAATTTTTTCGTTGAAATTCTATTGGTAAAATGTGTCTACATTATTATTTACATAATTTTTCATTCGTAAGTACAACGTCAAAAATTTACCGGTGAAAATTATTTTGTTTGTATTTTTTTGGATAATCCATCGATATTTCAGTAATAAATTAATAGTTTCACTTTTCAATTTCGTTAATAATTTTACAGTATTCTATTTGTAATTATCAACGAAAAAAATTAGTTAATAAAATTATATCGATAATAAGTATATTTTTAGTAGTGTAATTAATGAATCATGAAATATTTTTCATAATCATTTGTTAAATTTAATAATTGAACAAAAATTAAGCATGTTCATGAATTATTCGTAGAATATTATACTAATTTTTATAGACGAATCGAATATAAACAAATTTTGTTATGTTTGTGATATATTTGTTTAATTAAAAACCTTTAAAATATTATTTATAATCATTTGTTAAAATTAATAAATAAATATAATTTGAATATATTTATGAATAATTAGTCAAACGTTCTATCCGTTTATCCTATAATATTATATATATTTATTATTAAATTAAATAATCTAATATGAAATTATAATTATTGATAATTTATTGTGAAGAATATACCTTATAATAATTAAAGGTATTACAACCCAAATCTTTTAAGGTGTTGGATATATTTAATAATTTAAAATATGATATAATAATACGATATAAAAATAATGAAAAAAAAAGACACGAAAGTAACATGAGTTAAAATTTTAATAAAATTTATATATGAGTTTAACAAAAACTAAAAGACTATTTTTTATATTTTTCATGTTGATATGAAATATAATATCCAATTTTTGTGTAAAACACAATACACGAAATGTTTTAGACGATATGAATATAAGAATTATCAGATGGATAATTGATAAATTAATCTTATATTACTTTTATCAAACATTCTATTAGCGTGAACACTATGCAGTACATACCAAATACATTAATTACTAGTTCAGCTAGAGATATAATTAAGTCAAGAGTTTGTGATATGAAATTTGAGTTTAATTTGTAGCAAAAAAATATACTTTATGTTAGATTGATTTTTAATTCGACTTGATTTCTTGTAAATAATTAGCACAAAATTATAAGTATATATCATACCAATATCACAACAAAAATATATAATTTTAATGGAATTTAGTTTTTGAGGGTTTGAGAAACTGCCGGAGCTTTCCTTTAATACCCTGTATTTTCCTAACAAAAATGAAACCACCATTAGGCACTAATGACGGTCCAAAGGATGTAGCAATGAAACTTATTGTTAGATCGCTGTTAGTGATTCCATTCATGAGATTGTAGCTAGCGGCTAGGTTGTCTACATATGAAGAATTCATGGCATATTCACAAGCCACAACTTATGTTATTTTTGTCCTACTCTTCTTTACTTGTTTATTTCCATCCACAATCATATAGGTATGCTAATGGCTTCTAAATTTCTTACAAACAGTAGCTGAAACCAGATGCAACGCAGAACCAGTCTGCTAATGGGTGGATCACATTATCCTCAGGTGTAATTGCATGAGACAGAGTTTGCAGTTCTGCTATGACTTGCTTTTGCTTCTCATTGCTGATCATTTTCCCTTGGTCCAAATGATTCATTCATCAGTTCTGTTGACATTTGATTTTGTGATGACAGATTCTTAAAATGTGCTAATATGTTAGTATTAGTATTTCTTTCTATAACTTAAGAATTTGTGGATCTTGGATGTAGACTGTTGAAGGACAAAAGCGAAAGCTGGAGGAAAGTGAGCAATTGCTAAATCAAAGGAGGTAAGTAGTTGGTCTTGATTTGTGTTTTCTGCAATTGAATGTTTCTACTTGATGAATGTGTGCATTTTTTTTCGTCCAATTTTAAGGATCAGATAGCCTAGTATAGAAGCTCTCTTGAAGACCTTGTGTAGACTGAGCCATAGTTGCTTCTCACTATACTAAGCACAGATAGGAAAATGCATACAAAACAATTTGACTTGAATATTGTTGATAAATAGTTGCAGTTTGCAGTGTTTACTATAACTATCAATTTAATTTGAGAATTGCTCATAAAGAATGTGATCAAAATAGGCTATTTTGCATGAGCTAGTTGCTTTTGAGTACTCATTTCGTGTTTGTGTAAAACAAGTAAAAGAGTGTATAGTTTCAATAACATATTTTTATAGAGTTTCAGTGAGGGCATATGGGTAAGTTGTTGTCTGGGAATTAATTTAGGGAAAAACTATGTAAATGCTACTATCTTGCACAAGCACAAAGAAAGCAAAATGAATCTTGCCTCAGACAAATCTTTGGAATGCGGTTGCACTGATTATAGTTCAACTTTGCAATGTGGTTGTCTTCCATTCATTTGTAGAACCAGCAAATGGGTAAAAGAGTGTATAGTTTTAATATCATATTGTTATAGAGTTTCAGTGAGGGCATATGGGTAAGTTGTTGTCTGGGAATTAATATAGGGAAAAACTATGTAAATGCTACTATCTTGCACAAGCACAAAGAAAGCAAAATGAATCTTGCCTCAAACAAATCTTTGGAATGTGGTTGCACTGATTATAGTTCAACTTTGCAATGTGGTTGTCTTCCATTCATTTGCAGAACCTGCCTCCTTTAGAGCTTTGTGTGAATCAAAGAGAAAGGATATAAATTCTTATTCTATTGTCATTGAAAACTCTTTAGCAAATAATTTCCAAGAAAAATTGCAAAGTTGTTCACTGCTGTTTTAGAGCTGTCGAGTTGATTCATATCTTGCTTTGAAAGTTGGTTTCCATACATTTCAATTTTTTATTGCTATGGTGACTCTTGTCATGTGTTATAACTTTAATTATTCAATCAATATCTGTCTCTGACAGATACTCCCATTTATGCTAGATGTTGGTACTAACAATCAAAGGCTACTTGAAGACCGGCTTTTTGAGTACAATGTGTACTCAATTACTTTGTTCTTAAGAAGTTGTTACCTGTGCAGAGTGGACCATATGATATGATTGCTGTGACTTTGTTTTCTGACAGGTTGTTAGGATTTTTTAGACATGTTCTTTTGGTTTGACAGATTTAGGATTAAGACAACCTAGGTTAGAAGGGGAAGAATATCTATCAATCGTTGATGAGTTCATGGAAGCAGTTTTCACAGGTTGGCCTAAGGCTATTGTACAGGTTTATTTCTTTCACAAGTGAGAATTTTTTGTTATGCTTGGTTTATATCATGTTGTTTATTTGATGGTTACACCATTCAGTTTGAGGATTTTCAAATTAAATGGGGTTTTGAAACTCTGGAACACTAACGGAAAAGGTTTTGCATGTTTAATGAGGATATGCGGGTGAACTCTTGGTGCAACGACTTTCTACTTTTATGGACTAGATTAGTGTCTAGTGTAATGCAGATTGCTCTGAAATCACTATGAATGCCACCATTATTATAAAGTTGTGCTTAATGTCTCCTACGGAGCTGCTGGAGTTACATTTGCTGGATTGTTAGGAACTGTAAGAGCACAAGGTTGATCATTGGCTGACTTTCCAAACCAAAAGATAGTTGTGGTGGGAGCTGGGAGGTACTTGACTAACTTATAGATAAAGCTTTGGCTTTCAGCCTTTCACCAAAATTTTTCAGCTGTTTCTCTATGCCCATTCCCTCTTGGCTTTATTTCTCATGTCCACCCTTCTGTCTGTCTTCCAGTGCAGGGCTTGGTGTTCTTAGCATGGCTGTGCAAGCTGTTGCGAGGATGACAGGAAAAGCCGAAATAGCTGCACACAATTTTTTCCTACTTGATAAAGATGTATGGTTTTATATTTCCATTACTCCAGTACTCTTCATCCTATTCGTGCAAAGCCTTTCCTGTTCTTTTAGATACGTAACATGCCCATTCTTTTGTGTAATAAAGATGAGGCTTGCATGAACAGAACATGTGGAAAAAAGGTTTACTAGAAAAATGATCTAAGTTTTTCTTTTTTTTTAATTTCTTATTTCTTATTAGAAAATGATTGTGGTTTGACTCTGGGAATCCAAATACTTTGATTTTAACTCTATGTCAATTAAGCATCTGGTAATTTTAAGTTCCTCCTCCACATGGTGAATAAATACTTAATTTTCTATTGTTTATTGCTAGTTAGGGGTCTTGTTACTAAGGAGAGGAAAAATCTTGATCCAGGAGGAGCACCATTTGCTAAAGATCCAGGACAGAAAGTGGGACTTAGGGAGGGGGGCTTCTCTATTTGAAGTGGTAAGTTCAATGTCAGCGATTGAGGCAACATGTATAAGTGCCAGGCTGGTGTTATATGCAATTTTGTGCAAAGAAGAAAAGCGGTCAGTGCATAATTTGCTGTCTATTATGACTAAAAGTTTGATGTTATGCTTCACTTTAATAATATAGTCTTCTATAAGTTAAAGTTTGATGTTATGCTTCACTTTTATAGTGTAGTCTTCTATAAGTTATAGATGTTCTTTACGTATATAGGTTTAAATGATCAATCACATTTGAGCCTACATATATAGGTTTAAATGATCAATCACATTTGAGCCATACCTCTATTCTAACAAATTTTCGCTTATAGCCCTAAATTATTGCTTTTAGGATAATTAATGATTTTGCAATTGATGACCCAAGACAGGGAATGAGCCTAGAAAAGGAAAATTCTATTAATCCAGAATTTAATTTAGTTAATTCATGTAATTATCTTTAAAAGATAACATTTAAAATATATGTGATTCAAATTTCAATGTCTATAACCTCCTTAGTTCTTACTCATGTTGCAATCCCTTTTATAAAAAAAAAAAAAAATCTATTTAACTAGAATTGAAAGTGCAATACTAAGTTTTATTACTCTTTTAAATCAGGAGAATGAAATATTAATTAACAAGTTTTTACAAATCTCAATAATTATTTTCCTAGTTACCTTCTGTTGGTTTTACGTTTAATTTTCCATGTTGTTTGATTATTGCAGAGGATGCATGGGCTTGGAATTACACGACTAGTCGTTGTTGGGGTCCGTCCGTTGGGCTGCATGCCCCTTGTCAAGACTCTAATGGAAATATGTTGTTGGGATGCTGTGAACAACCCCAAAAAATATGGTAAAAGAGCTTTGATCAATCCTCTTATTTCTTCTTCTTTATTTGGTTTTAAAATGCAAAAGACTGATATATGTGTGTGTATATATAAATATATATATATATATATTTCTTAAACCCCTAAAAAAATTGGCAGGTTTGGCTGAAACTTCCGAAGGATGTTGTGGAACGGGGACAGTAGAGTATGGAGATACATGCAAAGGCATGAGCACATGCGCTGATGCATCAAAATATGTATTCTGGGATGCTGTTCATCCAACAGAAAAAATGAATCCCTCGATGAACAGAAACTTGAGGAAGATAATTTTAAGTCCAACATTTATAATGAAATTATCAAATTAACATGGTATCAAAAGTTTTCTGGAACATTTACAGTTGTAGTTTCAGAGTCACTGAAAATAAACAAGAACGAATTGTTTTTTAATTTTGTTGGGTACAACAATTATAAATGTGAAAATTATTTTTAAAAAATAAAGTAGTATTTTCAATGGCAGTTTTAAGTGTCAATATAATTCATTTAATAAATATAAAAATTTTGAATAAAATGTGATTTTTATCTACACTTTAAAATATTTTAAAAAAACTTTTTATATTTATGACGTTAGTTTAAAGCGCCGGTTGAAAAAAACTATGCTGTAAAATTCATGTATAGTTGTCGCTAGTGACTTGACCGCATGAAAGTTTTCATTGACATTCACTTTATCGGCGGTCAACTAGCGATTAAAAAACTGCTGGCAATAGTAATAGCAGCATTTTTTCTTAGTCTTTTACTGGCACTTATAAGTGCCAATAAAAATGACTTTTTTTTTGTTGTGTATAGGATATAGAAAAAAATAAATTCAATTAAATTTGCAATTGAGAGCTTAATTGAGTGAAAATATAAGTATAAGGATTCACCTAGATGACAATAAATGTTTAAAAATTCAATTAATTTGAAATAAAAGATTTAAAACTTGAGTAATTGCAATAAAATATAAGAAATTTAATTGATAAATGATTTTTTGTTTAAGGGATTTTTTACCTTTAAGTCAATATTAATCGACTCTCTCAAAATTAAATATCAAGATCTATCATTGTACACTAACCAATTGGGTTTACTTCTTCTTTGAGAGTGTGGTTGTTAACATTTTAGTCTGATTTTTTTTTCTAATTTGAAATAACTCAATCTGCTCAATTGTCATCTTTTTAAAGTACTAAGTTTAAGTTGGGAATACAATAAATATATAGGGAGGTTGGATTGCTTTCATCTTCATTTTCCTTTTCCTAATAAGGATGTTGTTGGCATTTGGATTACTAAAAGTGGAGATGCAATTGATTAATTGGTTTATCTTAAGTTAGGCATAGATTTTCTTAATTTGAATGATGGTTTGTTTTTTATTAGGTCTTTGAAATTACTTTCAATCTTCTACTTTTACTTTTCAATTTGGAGCAAAATGGAAGAATCAACCAGAAATTAATTACAACAAATAAACTTAAGTTTTCAATAATTCTTTTTAATTTTCATATGTTTCGTTTTAGTTACTTCTATAAACTTAAAAATTCTTTTAGTTTAATTGCACAATAAAAAAAAAGTAAATAAATTATTTACGTGGATGAATAGTGTGTTGCCATGGGGGCATTCACATGAAAATTTTAATAAAATTATTCAAGATTTTAATTTAATATTTGGCATACAAATGGACTGATTCTAATGATGAGATGCCAGATAGACAAGCCGTGTTAATGATGTTTACTATTAGATTGATTAAATCAATATCTAATTTAAAATTTTAAGATGTAAATTGTATATTATTTTATTTAAATATTAATTTTTTATTGTTCTAAGTAACATCTGTGTAACTAACTCAATGCAAATATATAAGCTCCTAATCAAATCAAGCCATATGAAATTTTCTGCCTTAATATTAAGTATTAACCCACCTTAATTTTCAAACTTTTAACTCCTCCATCTTGAGTTATAACACATGTAATTTTGACCAATATAAAATAATTTATCATCTTATTTTAATGTTTACACATATCAAATATAAAATAAGATGATATTATTTAATCAATATATAAATTATTTAACCAATATATAAATTATCTCATTTTAATCCTTACACACACAAATATAAACTAAGATAATATTATTTAACTAATATATAAATTATCTCATTTTAATCCTTACACACATAAAATATAAAATAAAATGACATTATTTAGCTAATTCTATCTATAATATTATCTTATTTTATCTTATCATATCATAATCTTATATATCAAATACATTAAATCTTATAATTTAAATATTATACTAGGAAAAAATCAGTAAAATAAAACCATAGAACTGAGAAATGCTTCTTTATCTTCTCTCTCTCTCTCTCTCTCTCTAAATGTATGGAATTAATTTTCGGATGAAATAACAATATATAGTCAATATTTCTAAACCCTAAATAGCAATCCCAAAGCTCAGTTTGTGGGTTTTAGACGGGAGAGAACAGTCTCAGTCTCAGCCGTCGGTAGACAGATAGAGACAAACAAAATAGCTTTGGATTTAGGGAAAAGAAAGAGAGGGCTTGCCCAACCAAAGACGATGTTTCAAATAGCACCAGAGGGCTCTCTAGTTTTCCTCTTTCTCTTGATTCTCACCCCTCACGCACCTAATCACCCTTCCAATTGGCTATTGTTCTACGTGGCACTACTCTATTCGTTGCATTGCATCACTCTGTCGTTATGTCTCACTTTTATTCTTTTTATTGGTGGGCGACATCCTTACTGTGACGGTCATGGACATATAGGAGTGTTTCTGATAATTTTAAATACCGCGACATTGAAATAAGAGTAAATTTTATCCTTGGTTATTGAATTATGCTTTTATTTTTATTTGGATCACTTAATTTTAATTTGTATCAAAAAAATCATTAAAAATTATAAAATGTAACAAATATGGCAACTTTAACTATTTTTATCCAAATTACTAATTAAAAAAAATGATATGACTTCCACATTTTATGCCACATAAGTTTAAATTATTTTTTTTCATTTCGTTTCTTTCCTTCCCTTAAATGTCACTCTTTCTCCATTTAATTGTTCAGCCTCCATCTGCAGCCACCCAAAACTACCGTTCCACCACCTCGTAAATAGGCCTGAAGTTGACTTTTGAGCCCAGCAGAGTTATTGCTACCAGGCTAGAGACAGAAGCACCCCAGCAAAGCCCAAAAAAAAAAAAAATCCCCTCCTTTGTTTGTCTCCAGTTGCTCTCCCTAAATAGAAAAAAGAATGTTTTAAATTGTGTCTTTGCTGGCTTTATTTCTTGGTTTTAACTTTATCAATGATGAAAAAGAAGAAAAGAAAGGTCCGCTTGTTTTAGCTACTCATAAAATATTACAACACTAATTCTGCTAGATTTTATTTCAAGACTAATGTCTAATTGTATACATTTGTTTATTGAATGCGGGTGATTTGGAAATGGGAAAATGGAATTATAGTTGTCTAAATGGTGGTAGAAGGCTGAACAGATGGTAGTAGATCTTATTTTCAGGTTAGATATAGGATAATTTAGAAAGTTTTAGGAGGAAATGAGTCAAGAAAAAGAATGAGGAGGCTGAAATTAGCAAATAATTAAATTCTGATGAAGATCAAATGCCGACAAGCGACGATTGATGGCAGAGAGAGCAACCATACAGCGTAAAAATTTGAGCTTTGAATGGTGGCTGGCCAGTGTTGAAATTCATAAAAAAAACTCATTTCTGTTATTAGAAGCTGAGTGTTCTATTAATCTCTTTTATTTGAAATTTTCAATCAGATAAGCAAATGTTCTTTTCTCAAATTTTAAGCTTTTTGGATCATTTCATCGCAAGCTTGATTTTTTTTTTTTTTCTAAGAGTTTTAAGATTGATTTCTATTCTGCTTTTCTTTTAACTCAAAAAGAGAAATTTGATTTTAAATTTAATTCGAGTTTAATTAAATTTTAATTTTTAAATTTGAGTTTGACTCAAAATAAAAATTAAAATACTCAAACTCTTTAAATTAATCTTATATAATAAAAAAAATAAGTTTAATCTTTATATTTAATGTTAAACTGGATTATGTATTTATTTTCACTTAATTTGATATAAATATAAAAATAAAATAATAATTTTTAATTATAAATATTATAAATATAAAAATATGATTAAATTAATTACTTATTTAAATCAAATATTAAAATATTTAAACTCATTAAACTACTCAAACTCAAATAAATGATCATCGGATTATAAAATTTATTCGAATCAAATTAAAAAATCTCAAAAACACTATCTATCATTTACATTTAGATTTGATTGATATGTATAATGAAAAACATATGATAAAGGAATAATTAATTTTAAAGTTGATCGTTAGAATCAAATTATTCTATAATTTTTGTATACTTATAATCCAACAATCATCGTCTCACTATAAAACTATTAGGTTTAACAAATTTATAACTTGTCAATACTTTATTCTCAAGTAATTAAGTAAAGTGATTTACCCTTGTAGCACCTTGTAGTAATTTAATATGTGTTAAGTGCATTACTTACCTTTTATTATATGCTGTTTTCCTTTTATTATTTGTTTTTTTTTTCTTTTGCAATGATGCATATAGATAAAAAAAAAAACACATAGTATATTAAAGAAAAAAATAATATATAAGATTAATAATAAATAAATGTTTACAATGAAATTTTAATTCAAATACTATAATTAATTATAAAAATTTAATATTCATGAGTAACTACATAGCGATGCTATAATCATCAGCAACAAATAGGCCTATAATTAATGTAAAAAAAATCAACAAATTAAAAGTCTATCATGAATATCTTTAGATTAGTATTGTTTCCATTAATTTGTAGACCGTAGATATAAAATCTCCATTTTTTTATTATTGTTTGTCTTGACCATGATTGGATATCATACTTTATTTTCTTCTTTTACAATTTATTACTAAAGTTAATTAAGGTAAAGATGGTGGGTAAATTTTTTTTTTTTTTTACATAAAAAACATTAATCAAGTATCAAGAAATTTAATCATATAATGTGGACAAATAATGAAATTTGCCAATGTAGCCATCATAAAAGGTTTAATGAATAGCCAAACTTGCCTTAGATAAAAGCTTCTCAATTTTAATGGTTTTATTATTGTGTGTTTGTTTCATAATAACTTAATTATATAACTTTCAAGCCTAATTATATTTTCATTGTATTTTTAAGCTGTTTGTATCTCATGTCTTTTTAAAATGTCTAAATTTTTCAACTGAAATACATTAGTTTAATTTTCTTTTTTGGTCTTAAATTTTTTGGCCATAAAACCTAAAAAAAAAAAAAAAAAGGCAAAAACCCCTTTTTGCTATCAGAAGCAGAGTGTTCTATAAATCTCTTTTGCTTGAATTTTCCAGGCAGTCTTTTCAATTTTCAAGTCTTTTGATCATTTCAGTGCTAGCTTGATTTTTTTTTTTTCAATGAGTTTTAAGGTTGATTTCTGTTTTTTTTTTTTTTTCTTTCAATTCAAAAAGAGAAGTGTATTCTTGCATTCAATTCAAGTTTGATCAAAATTTAATTTTTAAGCTTAAATTTAACTTAAAATAAAAATAAAAATATTTAAATTTTTTCGATTAAAATTATTTAATAAAAAATAAATTTAATTTTTATATTTAATTTTAAATTTGTTTATATGTTTAAATTTAAACTCGAATTGATATATATATATAAAATAAAATAATAATTTTTAATTAAAATATTAAAATATTAAAATTTAAAAACTAAATTAGATTTATAAATTATTTGAGTTAAGTATTAAAATATTTAAACTCGTTAAATTACTCAAACTTGAATCGATAATAATCGAATTGAATTTAAATTTTATCCAAATTAAATTAAAAAATATTGTAAAAATTAATTTATCATTTATATCATTAGATTTGACATGTATTTGTAATGAAAGAGACATGAAAATGAAGTAATAAATTTTAAAGCTTATTGTTAGAATCGGATTATTCTATGGCTTTTTGATTACTTTTAATCCAACAATTATCACCTTAGTGTAAATGATTTAGTAAGTGTACAAGTTGTCAATGCTTAATTCTGCAAGTAATTAAGCAAAGCATTTTATCTTTATAGCTCATTGTAAGAATTGAATACTTATTAAGTTCATTACTTATTTTTTATTATTTATTTATTTTTTCTTTCGGATAGATACAGATAAAAAAATATAGTATGTTAAAAAGAAAAATAATATATAAGATTAATAACAAATAAATGTTTATAATGAAATTTTATTTCAAATATTATAATTAATTAAAAAAATTTGATATCCACGACCAGTTACATAGGCATGGTGTAGTCATCTGCTACAAGCAAGCCTGTAATTAATGTAGGAAATAATCAACAAATTAAAAATTTGTCATCAATATCTTTATTTTAGTATTATTTCAATTAATTTGTTGACTAGTAGGTGCGAGAGCACCATCTTTTATTGCTTGTTTTGACCGTTTGTTGAATATCATATTTTATTTTATTTTTTATACTTTATTATTAAAATTAATCGAGACGAGCATAATAGATGAAGTATCTTTTTTTGCATAAAAAACATTAATCAAATACTAGAAAATTTGATCATATAATGTAATTATTTTGGACAAAATAATGAAATTTACGGACGTATAGCCTTCATAAAAGGCTTAATGAATAGCTGCCTTAGATAAAAGCTTCCCCATTTTAATGGTATTATTATTGTGTGTTTGTTTCATAATAACTTAATATATAATTTTTAAGTGTATGAAAAATATGATTATATTTTATTGTATTATTGTTTATTGTATCATATACCTTTTTAATATGTCTCAATTCTTCACTCAAATTATATTACTAATTTAATTTCTTTTTTGGGTATTAATTTAATTTTTTATGTACTGAATCATGAAAATTAATTTAATTATTAATTAGTGAATACGGCGAGATATTTTCAGGCCCAGCTCTTTTTCAGTTTTAATAGTTTTTTTTATCACGAATTAGGAATAATATGATTTATTAATGAAAAATTCTTTTGAATTAGGTGTGAATTTCGTTTATTGGAGATAAAGAAGATGAAACAATAGTTCTATAAATAAGGACGAACTACCAAAAGTGTTTTAATAAAAAAAATTATTATTTGATATTATAATAAAGAAATATTTGTATTTAAATTAATAAAAAAATTAAATTTATATTTATAATATTAATATCCAAAAATGTAATTATTTTATTTTATTTTTTGGATGTACATATTTGATAAAATAATTATACATATATTTAACTAAATATACATATATTATAATTTTGAATAAAGATCATTGAACATTACGATTATAAAAATAATTTTCAATTTATTTGTTAATATATTATTTTTTCACTAATTATTTTTAATATAGTAAGAATTAATAAATATTTGTGTTACTTTTCGGAAATTTCCCCCAATAAAAAGACTGATATTTGGGCTGTCTTCCATTACTTAGATAGGAAGGGAAGAATAAAACAAAGAAGATCCCGATAAATAAAGAAGTGATGGGTAATGACTTTCGTCGGTCACATGGCTTTGATCGGAGACTATGGAATTTAATAATGAATAACAATATTAAAAGAAAAAGAAGAAGACTTTAAAGAAAATAAGTCTTCCTTGCTCTACATTTCATGTGCTAATCTTGAAACAAATCCTTTGCCCATAAAACCTCCAAAAGAAAAAAAAAAAAACAAAACCCATTTCTGCTCTCGGAAGTTGAGTGTTCTGTTAATCTCTTTTGTTCGAATTTTCTGGGTAGATAAGTGAACGTTCTCTTTTCAATTTCCAAGCTTTTTGATCATTTAAGTGCCAGCTTGATTTCCTTTTTCTTTTGGCCAAGAGTTTTAAGGTTGATTTCTACTCTGTTGGCTTTTCCTTCAACTCAAAAAGAGAAAAAAAAAAAAAAACTTCAGTTGAATTTTGTTTGATTCTACATTTCTTTCCTTGTAACTTAAAAAAAAAAAAAGAGCTACTCTTCAATATTTTCTTTCTCTTTAGTTTCCACTTGGTTTGTCATTTTCATCTAAAAAATAAAAATAAAAAAAGAAAGAGGAAAAAAAATCCAATCTTCAAATTTCTTTGCTTGTTTTCAATGATCCGTCATGAATAAATTCTCGCAGATTTAGAACGTACCAAGTAAGGTAAATGCAACAACTTTTCCATTGCTTTCTCTTTGTACAAATAAAGTTTGTTTCTTACATATTTTTTTATCTAATTTGCAATTTTTGCAGTGAGGCAGATCAGATCTGGAAAGGTTTGGATTTATTTCTCAAGCAAATTTTCCCTTGAAAGCTTCGGATCTATTGCTTCTATCTGGAAGTGGTAAGGTTAGAATATTCATTTAACTTTTTTTGTCAATATTAAAAAAATAACCAAAAAATTGGTTGTAGGGGAGTAGAAAGGCGGATCCAGGTAGCCGTTTTGGTTTCTAGGGTCTTTTGATCTTGGGATTTTGGAGCTTCTCTAGTTGTTAGGGGTAGAGCCGGATGAGAGGAAAGAGGAAGCGGTGCCGTTGGTGCGTTGAGAAGTGGTTGAGGGTGGTTTTATCTAGTTTTTAAGTCTTGGGTTTGGTTTTAAATTTAGGACTTTCTTAGAGTTTTTAGGAAAATTTGATCTGATATAAGGAAAAGGAGGATCAAGGAGGAAGACTCGAGTGAGTTTTGGGAAGAAAAACGTTGCCGACGGGCGGTGTACGATAGTGACATAGGATGGTCCGACATCGGAGTTTGAAAAACGATGGCGGTGCAATTAAATGATTTTTTTTATAAGGATTTATTTTTTTAAATAAATAATTTCATGCAAGCATATCCATGTGGCAATTGAGCTTAGGCCATGTGGGAATAGATGTCTAACTGTGACAGGGAGCCTACCATTTCTTTTTACTTCAATCTTATCATTATTCAATTATTAAAAAAATTGAATATTATCTAAATTTTTTTATTACAATCCTACAATTAGCATTTATCATTTATAATCATGGGTTCTATAATTTGTGAATCCTACAAAAATATTGAATTTTAATTGGTTAATTATTTTACAATAATTATAGGTGATATATTCCTAATAAAAATTATATAGAGAAGGTCTACTTATATAATAAAATTTTGATGTACCTCACATAATTATGTATTATGATTGGTTAATTATATATTAAAAATTATTATAGATGATATGATTATAGATGATATATTCTTGCAATAATAGCATCCAACATTTAACCCTAAACGATTTTATTATCAAAGAAACAAATCTTTCGTAATGTTGGTGACTAAATCATTACTTTTCATATTTCGGTGTTCAAAATAAAAAATCAACTAAAATTGGTTGACCAAACCTGTAAGTAATCATTTTTAAAATCGTTGCTTAATTGTTGTAGTATGATATGAATTTTTGGTTTTCTATCATATCAACAGCAATTTTTTTATTTCAAGTTTTCTGAGTAATATTTCCTCATAAATTATTTAAAAATATTGTTTTTTATCTCGTGTTTTCAGCTTGGTAGAGCGCTGAAGAAAGGCATTTGGTTCTCATACTTCGAATTGTCTTCATCTTGCCTTGTTATGTACTTAAAAAAGTGTTACTTGGCAGAAAACTAAAGAAAAAGCAGTTGGTTTTCACACTTTGGACTAACTTCACCTTGCTTGGTATGTTTAGAGAGTTCACCTTCTTCATTATTCTTTAATTTTCTTTTTAATATCATCACCATAACTTATCTCATAGCCAATATTTTTATGCTTGGCAGAAGTTTGTTCAACTTGAGCTTGTCAAGAATGGCTTGTGGGTTTTGCGAGTCTGCTCTTTCTAACTGCATGGGAACACTGCTCGTGGATTGGGTGGTGAAGCCAGTAGGACATCAACTTAATTACATTCGGCGTTTTCATGACAATGCTGAAAAGCTCAAGGAAAAAAAAGAAGAACTAAAAATGGCACGAGTTCGGCTGCAACATGAGATTGAGGACGCTAAAAGGCGACTTCCAGGAATTGAAGATGATGTCACAACTATGCTATCAAAGGCGGACAAAATCCTATCAGATATGGAAACTCTGGAAAATGAAATGCAGCAAAACAAGCGATGTTTCAACTTGTGTCCTAATTGGAGTTGGCAGTATCAATTAAGTAAGAAAGAAACGAAGAACACTCCTGTTTCTTGTGAACTTCTAAAGGAGATTCGTCAATTTTGTCAACCTGGACGAGTGGGCTACCGTTCTACTAGTACAATTACAACCATAGAATTCCTTTCATCTAAGGATTTTATGGTTTCTAAATCTTCAAATATTGCTTTAGATCATATCATTCAGGCTTTAAAGGATGACCGGGTCAGCATGATTGGATTGTGGGGGATGGCAGGGGTGGGCAAGACATCCCTAGTGCGTGAAGTTGGAACTTATGCCAAAAAAAAAAATCTGTTTGACAAAGTTGTGATTACTACTGTGTCTAAAAAGCCAAACTTTAAAGAAATTCAAGATGAAATTGCAAAGGACTTGGATTTCTATATGAAGAATGAACAAGGAAGAATATCAAGACAAGAATTCTGGTCGAAACTGAAGGAGGTGAAAAGGATTCTAATAATCCTTGATGATGTTTGGGCAAATATTGACTTAAAGGAGGAGATCGGAATTCCAATTGGTGAGGATCACAAAGGCTGCAAAATTCTTTTAACAACACGCCGTCAACAAGTATGTGATGTTATGGAATGTCAAAGGAGAATACAACTTGGTTTTTTAGATGACCAAGAAGCTTGGGGTTTTTAAGGCGAAAGCAGGTCTAGATAACTCTTTTGATGAAGCTTTTAAACATGTGGGCATCTCAAGTTATCAAAAAGTGTGATGGTTTGCCCATAGCTATAGTTTACATTGGGAAGTGCTCTAAAAGGTAAAAATCTTCATAGGTGGGAAGCAGCATATAGGAGACTCGAAAACCGCAGATTGGTTGACATAGAGGACATTGATGAAAAAAATGCTTACCTAGTTCTTGAGGTGAGTTTTGATTATTTGAATGATAAGGAGACCAAGATGTGTTCTTGTTGTGCTCTTTATTTCCTGAAGATTATGAGATTTATGTAGAGAGCTGGTGAGATATGCATGGGGACTAGAGTTGTGTAAAGGAATGGGCTCAATTAAAGAAGTGAGGAGCGAAGTGCTTGCAGCGATGGACATCCTCAAGGATTCTTGTTTGTTGTTAAATTGTGGAGAAAGGCATGTTAAAATGCATGACCTGGTTCGTGACGTTGCTTTGTGGATAGCATCAAACAGAACGGAGTTTTCTTTTATGATAAAATCAGATGTTGTTGAATTGTGGCCAAAGGATGAAAGTTTTGAGCCTTACAAAGCAGTCTCCTTCAAGACTAGTCGGATTGTTGAACTTCCTAAAGGACTGCTATGCCCAAATCTCAAAATTCTTGTACTTGGTGGAGATGAGAAGATGACAACTTCAAGTGAATTCTTTGAAGGAATGACAGCATTAAAAGTTTGCGCTTTGAATTCTAGATTGATATCTCCGGATGCATTTCAGTTTCAAACAAACCTTACAACTCTTCATTTGGAAAGTTGCAAACTCTTGGACATCTCAGTGCTTGGGCAGTTGAAGAAACTTGAAGTTCTTTCATTTAGTTGCTCTGATATCAAAGAATTGCCAGAAGAAATAGGTGATTTGGATAATCTTAAATTGTTGGATTTATCATATTGTGTACAACTACAGAGAATCCCTTCTCAGTTAATACCTAGATTGTCCAAATTAGAAGAACTATACTTGCATGGTTGTGAGATATAAAATGGGCCACTGACGCACAGTTCAAGAAGAAAGCTATGCCTGTCTATCAGAGTTGGATTCCTTGTCAAACTTGATCGTATTATCTTTAGAGGTTTCTTCTGAACATGTTCCAAGGGACTTTGTGTTCCGTAAATTACAAAGGTTTTATGTATGCATTGGCTTTGCCTTTTCTGATTCTTATGGATTGAAGATGGACTCTGAGATCTGCCCATTCTCGAGATCTTTAAAGATTGAGGGGTCTGTAATAGAGGCATGCAAGCAGTTATTTGGGGATACAAAATCTCTTAATCTGAAAGATATGGTGGGTTACCCAAATCTTGTTCCAAGCTTGGAGTGGGGCCAAGTGGTATTCAGTAAGCTGACTTCTCTGGGTATTGAGAGTTGCGAGCATATGAAATGTCTCATTGATACTACAAAGCAGCAGGTGCTAACCAATGCAATTCCAAATCTATAAAGTCTTGAATGGTTGGAAGTTGAATCTTGTAATGAGATGCAAGTGCTATTCAGATTGCTGAATTGAGGAGCATACAGCAAGGACCCAGTGATCGTGTAAGCTTACAAAGCTTGAAGCTTGTAAGAATAGACAACTGCAATAAATTGAGATATCTCTTCCCAACGTCTGTTGCTGAAAGTCTTGCACAACTGGAAGAACTGCACATATACCACTGCTCGGAGTTGGAAGAAATAATTCCCAAAACGGAAGTGGCAAACATAAATCTCCAAAGTCTAAGGAAAGTATATGTAAGGGGCTGCAATAACTTGACATCTCTTTCCTCATTGTCGCATGGTCAAATTTTGGAGAAATTGTCAACACTTAAGATTCGAGATTGCTCTCGATTGGAATATACTTTTCCAATCTCAATGGCTGAAGGTCTTCCACAGTTGCATAAGGTTACATTGCGTGGTTTGCCTGAATTTAAAGGAAGGAATGGAAATGACATTGTACTCACGCTGCCATCTTTACAAGAGTTGAAAATGAGAGAGTGTCCACAATTTATCATTTCGGGGAAAATACAGGTAAGCCTATTTATTTGTGTTTTTACACTTTCAACTATACTTTGTAGGAGGAATATAAAGAATGGAAGAATAGATAAGAGAGCTGAAAGAAAAAAAAATGGGAACTTAATCCATTTAAATTGGGAGAGAAAATTCTTTTTTTCTTAAATAAAACCTTTTTTATAATTTTGTATCTTTGGAAACAAACACTTAGAAAGTAAAATAATTTGACTACATAGTGTTAATGTCGTTGACTAAATTTATTTTCCTGATAAGTTGGTGACTAAAAAGTTTTCAAGTGCTACAATATTTAAAAGATAGACTTTGTATTACTTTGGATAAAATTAATGTGAATCTACTTCTTCCTACTTAAGTAGTGATAATTAAAATCCCAATTGTGGACTTTTAAGATAGCTGTCACTAATAAATGCATCAGGCATCGATAAGCTTTGTGCAATATTATTTTACTTTCATTCACAATCTTATGAAACTCAATTTTTTCATTTACACCTTTTAAAATATTTTAAATTCATCTATTACAACAATCATTATTAAAAATTTAACAGAACAAATCTTTTTTAATGTCACATGGATATGCATATGACAAGAATTTCAACTTAAAAAGTCAAAAAAACTCTTACCTTTTCATCACATGCATGTTTACATGGTTATACACATACACAATATTTTGAGATGACAAATTTAGTCAAATTTTAATGTTTAATTGTTGAAATTGATGAATTTGAAATATTTTAAAAAACTTGTGAATGAAAATTTTGAATTTTAATTAAAACCATGAATGAAAATGAAATATTGTACAAAAGTCATAGATGTATGGTGTAATTTACTTTAATTTTCATCGACGTTTTCTTTGCTAGTTGTCTTTTGCTTTATATTTGAAGTAGGAATTGTCCATTCTAAATATGCTATTACTTTTTGTTTTCAATTTTTAGGAATTTACTATAATTAGTTTCTTGAGTTATCTATCTATCTCATTTAGTTATTTTAATGTTTTAGGAGATTGAGTTTATAGGAAATATGTAGCTAGGAGATTTCATTTTAAGTTCAATTAATTATTGCATAAAATGCTAAATAGTCATTTCTTCTCATAAAAAAAACCTTAAATAATTAATATCACAAATTGGTTATTTTTTCTCATAAAAACATAATGTTCGTACTATTTAGCATTATTTATCTACTTTTTTTTAATATTAAAATTAGTTTTGATTTTACTAATTACGATTGCAAGTATATAATTTTTTATGAAAATATAAATAAAAAAAAAATTATAATTATATTTAAATATTGAAAAAATGCATTTCATATCTTAATGATGATTTTCTGTCTGATTAACCCACTTATCTTAATGCATTATTTTTCAAGTCACTCAAATGAAATATCTAAAAATATCTGCGAGATTTTCTAAGTATTCCCTATTGGATTCCGGTTTTCTAAGAATTTCCTATTGCTGGCATAACAGGGGCTACAGAACAATATTACTTTGGTTTTCTAAGGATTCCCTATCCCTGACATGCATATCAGGGAGTCTAGAAATAATAGCATGGTAGCACAGAAATTTGTTATTTCTTCCCATAAAAACATAAATAATTAATACCATGAACTAAAAAACCCTTAATATCACCATTTAGCACAATTGAGAGTAGTGTGAGCTTTATTTGGTCAAAACAGAAAAACCAAGCTGAACTAGGTGATTTGGCTCAGTTTAGTTTAACGCCAAAAACTTTTCAAACCAAACTGAATTAATAATTTAGTTTTGAGTTAAAACTTAAACCAAATAAAATAATTAATTAAAAGTAATAATATTTTTGTAAATATTTTAATGCATATAAGAAAATATATTTCTTTAATCATAATTCTTAGAACAAACTTTATTTCTTAGATATATTGAAAAGCCATATGTAGTTTGTACTAGTACTTTGTGTTTTTAAACGTTTCATATGTATTCATTTTTATTCATGATATAGTACTAATCTTTTCAAACTTGATGTTTTATATTTTGATTAAATTATTTGTTTTTGACTTAAATTAATGAATTGAGAGTATTTCATTTATAATTATTTTTGTTACAACATTATAGTTATCCAATCACAATTAAGAATTATGTAGCAATCACTTAAAATGTGGCTTCTAGATAATTTTTTGATGGACCCTGCACAAAACTAAATTATAATTAGTTAATTGTACTATAATAATTAAAAGAGATATGGTCCTAAATTAAGGATTTTTCTAAATTTTAATTGATTAGAATAAAAAATTTAAGAAATTTAAATTTTAAACTTAATTCACTTTATATAATCATGGTTTAAATGGACCTTTAAAGCAATATGTTTAACTTAATGATAAGACTATTAAAATAAAAAATTTATATAAAATTTAAAAATAAAGAATAAATAAGTTTTTAGTTATTTTTACATTTCTTGAATTAATAGTTAAATAATATGATTACAGGTGTTAAAATTGGAAGATATGAGAGAAAGGAAGCAATTGTGCAATATGATAGTTCCTGAATTGAGACAAAAATTACCAAACATGGAATATTTAACCATCATTAATTTTGAAGAGTTATTTGATAGTGGATATAATCTTTCAAGTTTGAGGGAACTAGAATTGATAGATCTACCTAAATTGCAGATGGCATGGAAAGATCCCATCGAAGTTGTCAACTTTCAAAACCTCACTCAATTAAATGTCTGTACATGCGGAAGGTTAAGATATATCTTCTCACTTATCATCGCTCGGAATTTGCCGCAATTGAGCTCTTTATGGATACATGAGTGTGAGGAATTGGAGCAAATTATTGGAAAGGATGGTCAAACTTCATCAGAAGGTCATCATCTCCAATCTATATGCTTCCCTAATCTGATTGAAATACGCCTTTCTTCATGTGAAAACTTGAAATGTCTCTTTCCGGTGAGTGTTGACCTTCCAAAACTACAAGCTCTACTTGTTAACAATGTCTCCAAATTAGAAAAAGTATTTGAACAATCAGGAGATGAGGCAAATGGTAGCGACGAAAAAGAGAATGTGATACAGCTACCTCAATTGGCCACCTTAGATCTTTTAACGCTACCAAACCTTGTGAGCTTCAGCCCTGCGGGTTATCATTTCGTATTCCCATCTTTGCAATTTTTATCTGTAAGTGGTTGTCCCAATATAACCACAAGCTTTAGTGTTGATTCAGAGCAATCTGGGCATGCCAAAACAGAGGTACGCTACGCTCCCTAACTCTCAATATAAAAGTATCAAAAGCTGCCCTGCCTTTTGTATAGCTGGACTTGGATAAGCTTATGAACAGAGAGGTTCATCTGTTTTACATTTTTCATGCTTTCATTTCCTCTTTCAGCTTTACCGATTATGCAATATTAATCTCGTCTGTTCAAGGGAACTTGTTATGGATTTCAATTGAAAATTTTCATCCATGTGTTTGTTTTAATTCCTAATGAAATTGAAAATGCGATTGGCTGGCAATATTAATTCCCAGTTCTATTGGGTGGCAATCTTTCTTATTGGGTTCATTCAATGGTCCTTGTTGCGCTATTATTTCAATTTACTGAATTATACATGCTTCTTGTTCGTCACGCACCATGCTTTAATTTGTTTTGCAGGCAATCCGATCAATTGATGAAAATATAATTGAAGACTCTACTACAGCTCAACAAACAACATGGCCAATTGGTAGTGATATAGAGTGGTATAGACCATGGAGTGGACGACACACCTTTTCAGAGGAGGAAGATGAAGAAATGAATATGAGTTCAGAAGATGCAAGTGAATGAAGCAGTTGCCAATTTGCTGCAGCATTTCATAAACCTTTCACCCAACTTCATAGACTTGCAGACAAGTATTGCGATCATATTAGAATGCAAATTTCTATGAGGGTACATAAGACTGCATTCCTGTTTATTTATGTCTTGTTTTTATCAGCTAAAAGTTTATAGTTTGTTGTCCTTTCCACTAGCAGACTGAAAACAAGGATCTTTTAAAACATCAATGCGCACATTTTAATTATCATTGTGTTTCTGTAAGGAAGTCACTTGAAAATTCATCAATTCTGAATATCAGTTGAATAGCATTTCTTCCTCCCTCTAGACATTAGAGAAGTCACATATTATTTGTGGCATAAGAATTGCTATAAGAATTCCATGATCTTAAGTTCATTCAATTAGATTGATTTTTTTTTCCAAACAGCTTGTCAAAACTAAGTTTCCCTAGTTGATGTTCTTTAGTTAAAGAAGGGATCTTGCTGAGTTAAATACTTACTAGAATACAAATAAATGAAAAGAACTAAGTTGATGGAAAATGTTGGATTGAAATGGTATGTGTATATATGTTCAGCTTAGCAGTGTAAGTCATTTCTTGCAAAAGGAGAATTAATCTTGATATTAGAAGTCAAAACTTACAATCCCATATATATTTTACTTTTCTTGGTATAATTTTATCACTTGATTATATTTTTATGTGATTTTAATCATCCATGGATTAAAATAAAATATTCCATCCAAAATTTACTTTTGTCATTTGTTGTTGATATGGAAAATATTTATATTTTATTTTTAAAAAATTTCACGTAGTATAATATAAATTTGGAAAAAATAAGTGGGACAATTTGATTTCTAGTAAAAAAATTTTGCATTTATAAAACTTTGGAAAAATTTTTAAATTTATTTAGAAAACTAAAGTATATGTTTTGAAATTTTATTTTTATTTTAAAAAAGAACAGAATTTGAAAGTTTTGTATGAATTTTTCTTCTTAATCATCAGCTAGAGCTAACCTCTCATGTCGCCTTTTTCTACTTAATTATATTAAAGATAATTTTTTGCGTTGTGTGCTTAGTGGTATTGTTGGAATCAAAATTTGCTCTCTTTTAATTTGTTTGAGAAACTGAGGAGGAATGCAATCGATAATTTATGGAAAAAGAGAAGGATCAGAATAAGATGGCTAATAAAGATCCTTTTTTGCCGTCCAATCAAGTATATGTAGTCTTACATTTTCATTCATCATTAATGATTTAATTTTAAAATCAAATTTGATTTTTTTTTAATTTGATTGATCAAACTTTGAATTTACTTTCCACATAATATATATTTGATTTAAAGAAGAAGTTGCAATCCATATTGTATTCCCTCAAATGGATCAAAAGAAAAGGAAAAAAACCTAAATTAGTCAAGCTGGATCAGAAAAGTAGGGAAAAAGAAAGAGTCTACTCGGTCAAGTCTTCTATCGTAAGTCTCCCATAACCTTCCCAAGCACTCCATTGTTAAAAGTAATGGTATCCTATTTTCGTGGTTTTAAATTCAAGTTAAATTCCCTTCATCTATTATCAATTAATTTTAAGTTTGATACTTAATAGATTATTAAAATTCAATTCTATTTTGTTATTCTTATATGTTACTTTTTCAAGTTTATATCAAGATCTAGTGGTAATTCTTGTTAATTGTGTAACTTGTTTAAATTGAACTGAAAAATATTTGAAAGAATGCTAACAAAAACTTTTAATTAACAAAAAATATCTCTCCTTTTTTTATGAGAAAATGAGATAAATTGTGAGATTATAAGTTTAATCTTGACATTTAAGAAAAACTTGCCACTCTGCTGGCACTTCTTGCCACTTTTCATGTAATCATAACATTGGCAAGACTCTCTAAACAAAATTTGACAAATTATTTGAGACAATTGATAAGAATCATGATAGTGCGATCTTGACACTTCACCTATTTGTTGAATAAAATTAATAATCAGATTGATTGTCAAGCTAGTGTATAATTCTCGGTGCATAAACACATTCAAAAATTTTTTTATTTTGGAAGACTTTTAACTTAATTTTTTAAATATATTATTAGAGATGCAAATAAACTAAACATAAATAAATTTTGTTATATTTTTTATTTGTTCGTTTAACACTATTCAAAAATAAAGTATTATCAATGAAAATTTCTATTGATAATATTTTATTTTTCGTTTGTAATAATATTATCAATAAATTTATGGACAAAAATTTTTTCAATATAAATGAAGTTGATGATATAATTTCTTCTATAATTTACCACGCAATTTTTTGTTTTACCAATAAAATTTTCAGTTTGTATATTATTTTAATAATTTTTTTCAATTTTGTAAAAAACAAAACCTCCGTCACCAATAGTTAAAATTCCGCCAGTAATACTTGTTTTTTAATCATATATAATTCTACTTTGTTTATAAATTCTCTCATTTTATTTTAGTTTTTTTAATTTAGCTTTTAAGTACTTACATGAATAATAATATTTTAAGTACCATGTTTTTGCAGTCTACAAGAATCAATATTCACCGGTTCAAATTCTTAAATATAGTTACCAAAGCAAATATATCAACAACTGACTAAAATAAGCGTAGAACAAGATTGACTAGAAGGACTTGTTGGATTCTGGTCTTGTTGGAGTTGAAGCAATTGTTGGAGTGGCAACCACACTCTGCTCACTTCAAGGACTACCTTTTAACTTTGGGTCGTCCATCATATTCAATCATTAACTTCCTTATCAGAAAATAAAACAATTAACTATTTTTAGCCGCATTACCAAAAGAACATACAAACACTAAATCAAGCTAAAAAAAATTTATCACACAAAATTCCAACCAAAGCAATTGAACTTGACATTGGCCGTGGCCACACCTCCTAAACTTGTCTGTACATAGTACTTGCTTCCGTATTTCTTGGGCTTAATTACTAAAGCAATCTATTTCCATACAAATTTGGAAGCTTTATTAAAAATTAAATTAAAGTAAAATCATGCGAAATGAACTAAAAAATCATAATTTTTGGATGCATACAAGACATAATGCAAAATCATATTAAGCAAACAAAACAAAATTCATCTTAGATAAGCACCATGTTAGCACTATTGCCAAGCAAATTGTCATGCATCAACGAGTGTTTAGGATATAAAATTCTTCTTTTCACATTCCTGGAAGATTTACTCATTTATGTGTAGGTAGATATTCTTGAAGAACATTCACAAAACTGATTTTTATTTACAATTAGGAGATGGATTCAAACCTTAATTATTAATGGAACTTAAAAAGCACAAGTCAAAAGAAAACCTCACTTGTATTAGAAAATAACTACTAATTGCTTCCAGCCAAAAGCAATTTATAAACTAAGGTACAACAAAAAGTTCATGACAGTTAAGCAAAAACTCAATATAAATTCACTCTTAAAATGATTAAGTTTCCACAAAAATTGAATCTTTAAACTTCTTTACAGTTAAGCATGTGCATGTATGTTCATGGATGATGACACTAACAACAATAATAACAATATAAGAGACCATAAAAGAGAGCTATAAAAACCTCAGACACTATTACCTTTTGACGCCTACTTCTTGTCTGTTGCTCAAGCTTGGACCTTGGTCCCTTTAGAAGCCATTAGTTAATAGATGAATTGCAAGACAAGTGAAGACAAAGAACC